ATAATAAAACTTATGAAAATATTAAAGTTTTCTATTTTTTAATGAAATATTAACGAACAAATATTAGCAAACAATTTTTTATTTTTATTGAAATTTGTAAGTATTTTCGTATTATATATATATTTATAGAATATATATATATATATATTTATTATATTATATTTTATTTTATTTATTATATATATTTATTATATATATTTTTATAGAATATATAAATATATATATATTTATTATATAATTAAATATTATATTTATTATATATATATTTATTATATAATTAAATATATATATTTATTATATAATTATATTATATATTTTTTTATAGAAATATCATTTTAAAAAGATGAAATCAATGCTTAAAATTTTAATACAATTTTTGTCTTTTTTCTTTTTTTATATAATTTTGTAATAAAGCAAAATTTTAAATTACAAATATTTAGAATTTAATATTCTATTTATTATTGAAAAATTAAAAAAAAAATTGTATTTAAAATTTAATTGCATTAAAAATTCTAAAATTTCAGAAATTAATTTCATTCTTAAAGATATTTCTTGTTAAGAAAAAGATTGCTATATAATCTACTATGCATATTAATTTTCATCAAAGTTAGAATTTTTTAATTATATGAATTTAATATAAAATAGTGTTCAAATATTTGAATCTATTATATATATATATAAAAATAAGTCTTAAATTTTAATCATTAAAAGCTTATAGATTTTCCTATTAAAATTTAATTTTATTCATAATTTTTTCGAATTAAAAATTATCAATTTATATTTAATGATAGATTTAATAAAATCTAAAAAAATTATTACAAAAAAATTAATTCTAATAATTAAAGACATTATTGATATTATAGTTTCTACAAGAAAAATAAGTTTATAAAAAGAAAAGGTAAGATTAATTGTCAAAAAGATTATATATATATGCATATATTTTTATGCACCAAAAGATTCAAGACTTCATTACGAATATTGCGTCTTGTATTCATTCTTTGATGGAGCCAAGAACCACGAAGAAAATCAGAAAAGACTCAGAGAAACGATTAAATCGAAAGCGGAGAACTTTACTCAGCAGAATCTTCTTTCTAGATCTATGTATCGTAAAAAGCAAACTAAGTTACAATTATTGGAAAGATTTTTACTTATAAAAATTAAACGATCGGTGAGCATTCCACTTTTATACGCTCTAGTTTCTTTCAATCTTATTTTTTAAGTGCAAGTATTATTTATATAATTTTTTTTAAGTTTTATTTTAATTATTATTAAATAATAATCTTGAATAAAAAAAATATGAATATGAATAAAAAATGCAAAATTATAATAACTTCAAGTAATTTTTGTTCGATTGCCAACCTACGATGAATATAATCTTATTTATTATACATAAACAGATATAACATTACTATGTTAATTATGTATAATTACTGCGTTAATCAAATGTTATTAAAAAAAAACCGATTTGAATTTAAAAATGTTTTATCATTTTTTATATAAACTTAACTCTCATGCTTTTCGAAGTAAATCTCTTTTGCATTGATTTTTTTCGTATTTATCGAATGTCATTTCGAAAGAATGAAATGAAGTCTTACAGTTTAAATATCTTTTTTCGATTTTATTTTAAAGTATAAATATAATTATAATATTACAAGATGATATAGAACAAAATATTATAATATTCTATCATGTTATTATAAAAATATTTTCAAACAAAAGTATATTTTAAAATGTAAAAAGAATATTAACAATTTTGAGAGTTGATTTTATTTTAATTCAAAGTGATATTTTGTTAAAAAATGAATTATCAGATGTATATAGTGTAAAAACATAAATTTTTATTAAAATTAGAATTTTCGAATGAGGTGAATTTCTTTTTAAAATGGCATACAAATATTTTTATCTTTCATTGTCTAGTGGGTATATTTCACAATACATAGAGTTAATATTTATAAATTGCTTATTCGTTTGCTTTTCTATTATCATATAATATGATAAGATTATAAATAAGTCATTTTCTTTAAAATAGCGAAATGTAAATGCGATATTATAATAACTCAGAGAATCATTATTATCACTTTAAAAGCACCAGAATCCGCTCATTGTATTCCATGACACATTTGCAAGTTGATTTCTTGCTGCTGCAACTAAGAAGAGTAAGAAGAAAGTCATTAAGCGTTTAAAAAAAGTATTGTATCAACATTTTTATGCAGATTGCGAATATAATTTTCAAAATAGAAAATTTTAAAATTTATATAAAAAAAACAAATTAAAAGAATCTTTTAAAAAAGGAGAAAAAATGAATAAAATAAAGTATATAATAAAAAATTAAATAATAAAGTATTTAATAAAATATTAAAAGTAATACACGGAAATATAAATTATTTATTACAAAGAAAGAAGTGGAAAAAAAACATAATGTGTAATTATGTAAATTAATAATAAAAAAATAATAAAACATAAAAATAATAAAACATAACATAAAAATAAAATGTAAATTAATAAAAAAAATTATAAAAAAAATATAAAAAAATATAAAGAACAAAATACAAAATAAAACGAAAGAAGTTTATGAGAATGAAAGTTACGAGCAAATTCTTAATACTGAAGATTTACTGAAATATGCCGATGCTAAGAACTGGAAAAAGAAGAAATAAATGGAACGAAGTGGAAAGCAAACAACAACTGAAGAAGAATATAGAAGGATTTTATATGAAGTTTGGAATAAAACTTGGACAAGTTAAATAAGAAAAAATTTTTAATTTTGAGATATGAAAGCAAAGAATGTTTTAATTAAAAATAATTAAAAATTATTATTCAAGTAACAATAATGAATGAATAAACAATTATGATAAAATAATTGATAATTAATAAATAAACTTATTTAATGTAATAAAATTAAAAAAAATAATAAAAATTATCAATAAAATTAAATAAAGAATAAATAGCTAGAAAATAGATCCGGTACATATGGACGAATTGCAGCATGCATATTTTAACATATATTTACAAGATGTTAATATATTCATGAAACATCTTTGGAGAGTAGATTCTAGAGACTAAAACAAAAGTTGATGCTTATTTATTAATTAATAAGCAATTTAAGTTTGAATAGGATGAGATAGTTCTATCTTTATCACATCATGGGCTCACTTCTGTCTTCATCTCGCTTTATATAATGTAAATTTAACATTAAAGAAAGAGAGAGCTAATCAAAAATAGAATTCGTTTATATAAAGTTTGATTATTTCTAATTTAATAAATCAGCTTTAATCGAACTTTTTAAAAACCATTTTTTGTGTTTGTTTTGACCTCTAAAATCGATAGATGTCTTACTTGAACCTATACAATACATAATTCATCTACTGTACACAATATGAAATGCTATTGCAATATAACATCTCATTTTAACGAAATATATCTATTATATATCTATTACTGCATCATCGACATTATTTTCATCATTAAATATACTATATAATTTATAAGTTATTTATTTTATTATATTATATATATTAATATATTATATTATATTATATATAATATAATTATAAATATATAAATATGTAATATAATTATATTATATATAATATTATATAATATTTATTTATTTTATTATAATTCAATTTTATTATGTTAAGTTTATATTCAATTATTCAACTATAATATTTTTAAATTTTTCTATGTATTTTTACTTTTATCTTTAATTTTTCTATTATATTTGTTCGATAAATGTCATTTTTATCTCAATAATAACAGCAATGACTTGCATAATAGGATACAATCTTATAAAAATATTTCAAGAAATTAAATTTTCATAAATTTTTGCAATTAGTTTATTAAAAGATTTTATTCGTATGAAATTAATTAAAAAATTTTGCTTTTTCTTAAATCAATAAAACATGAAAGTAAATATTTCTTTGAAAAATTTGGCATATAAATAAAAATATATACCTAATATCTCTTTCTTATGATAGAATATAATTTTTAATAACACATAATACATATAAATATAATTTTTTTACGATTTCATTGGATTATTGCATTCATGATTAAATTGAGCAAATATGAAAGCGAACAAGAAATGCGGCAAATTACGTAACTATTTATGTGAATTATCAAAAAAATTGAATGTAAACGAAGTGGAGAATTGCTGCGGATACATGATGTCGCAAATTGCTTGTTTATATTAGAGGAATAGGAATAGTTGAATGTTTAGATTCTCATTTAGAATTGGGTTAACTTAAAAAATCATCTATAGAATCTATAGATTTTTTTATTACTTAGTAATTATTGTACACAATAAATTGCTTAATATTAATATTGATATTTCGTAGAAGTTTTTGTCAACATTATAATTTATTATATATAATTAATATTTTGTAGAAATATGTGTGAATAAATATAATATTGATTATTCTAAAAATTCTTTTGGTTATTTGCAAATACAGTTTTGATGAAAAATATGAATTTGAAAAATATGATGATTAAAATAAATAAAAACATATGATTTGAATAAATATTAAAACAATATAGTTTATTTTTTATTAATATATATTATAATATTTCATTTTTCTCTAGTTTTCCAAAAACGTATGTATTTTCTCTGTTAAGTATCCTGAATCTTTGAAAATTGATCAACTATTGAAAATTATATTATATATGAAAATAGTGCATTAAATAGTGAATGATAATAACCAGTTACTTCGTCATTCGAGACACCATTATTTGAAATGATTAAATTTAATTACTTGAAATAAGTAGAAATGATGAAATAATTTGCATGTATTTTAACATATACAATGAATAACATATACGTGAAATATATATGTTATTATTGTAAATATATGTAATGGATTTTTTATGATTTATTCTTTTATAGAAATGTGTTATTAATAAATAATGATTTATTAGAAGAAAAAAAATATTATTTAATGTTATTTATAATGTCGGGGGATATATCATTTTGAAGTCGAATTTTCGATCAAAATATATTCTTATCAATTTTTTTGTTCTTCTTTTTCTGCACATAAACGAAAGCTTCTCGGTGGAGATGAAAGTCGGGTCTGCGATTCCTCGGAATCTGTTTTGCATGGTGCTAATCCGGTGTTTTTATATTGAAAATTGCCGTACATGTATCCACACAGGGGGCAGAACATACGAACTTTCTTCGCACGTTTCATTATCAATGGTACAAAACAAAGCGGCCAACATCTGTTATGAATTATGTAAATGAAATTAAATTTAGAATTAAAAATATTTTAAAAAACGAATTTCTTTAGACATTATTTTAATTATTATTTTAATTATTTTTTAGATAAATGTCTAGTTTAACAATCTTTCTGTCATTTTGATATCATATTTTTATTCATTTTTATAAAATATAGAAAAATTTTATTAATTTTATAAACAAAACAATATAAACAAAATAAATCTGTTCCTATATCTATTACACAAAAACACAAAATTTTCATTGAGGACAAAATATGATATATAGAGTAGTTAAACTAAACAATTATCTTATATTCGTAGAATTATTTTAGATAATTTCGATATTATTATAAATTCTATTAGAAATTATTTTATTATAATATATTTAAAATTATATAAGATTTAATTTATCTTATATATTTCATTAATAGAAATTAATGAAAACAAAAAAACGAAACAAATCTTAATAAACTATGTATAGAAAAATGATAATTTTTTGAAAAGCATAGTTGCATTATTCTTATTTTTATTTGTTTCTCATATATATTTTCAAATTTTTACTATCATAAAATTTCGAGAAAAATAAAACAGTTACATTCCTGACGTTGATAAATGCGTTTGTTCGCGGCAGCTTCTGTTGATATAATTTAATTTAACATATTTTAGTTCGTTATACTGAAGCTGAAGTTTATTTCAGAAATTATTCTAGAAACTATTTTATAATATAATATTTAAAAATTAATTTTTTTTTCTGCTTTATATCTCACTATTTCATACCTCAAATTTTATTTCGTTAAATATACGAACATCGTTAAAATTTTTATTCGCACTTTCCAACTTTTGGTAATTCCTAATAATTCGATAATTTAATAAATTTAATAAATTTAATTAATTTAATCAATTTAATCAATTTTTTCAAATATAAACTTTGATATTATATTTTTATCGAAATTTATTAAAATTTCTAAAATTATATCATTTCTATAGAATTCATTATTTATAGAATATTTGCGATAAATTTGCAAATAAATTGAAGAAGCTTTTGTGATTACTCATTAATCTTTTATCCTGACGCGAAAAGCTGAACGAGCAGACAGGAAGCGTGAAATTAATTGTTGGTTACCTGCACGCTAGCCAAAATCTGTCTGTCCTAAATTCCAAATCATCGCCATATGTGCATATCAAGTAAAAAATTTAAACTCGTTAACTAAGTTCGAAATATTTTTAATGTGGATAGTATGATTTTATAAAAATAAAATAATTTAATGAAAATTTTTATGGTTGCAAAAATGATAATTATATTCTTTAAAAAAAAAAATAATTGAAAATTAATGATTCCAATTAAAGATTTATGTAAAGATTAATTATTATTGTTATTGTTATTATTGTACGAAATTTATAATAATTAATAATAATTCTACCTACCCTAAAAGACACAAAGCACCAATATGAGAAGTCGTCAACTTGTCTCCTCGAGTATGAAGAGTCGGTATTGCTTCCTTATGACATCGAGGACAAATTTTTTTTTCATTATGGGATTTCCATGTGTCCACTGTATAAGAGATTTAAGGAGTAAGTGATTTGATATCCTTCTAATTTATTCAAATAATTAATATTTAAGAAACATTACCACGAGTGGCATAAACTTTTTTTGTTTCGCTTTTCTTAGAATTGCTGTCTGTGTTACCGAACGACTGCAGTTCTGTAATCTTTGACGCTGTTTTTTTGGTTGTTATTTTTGGCCCTTCTTCTTTCTAGTTTAAATATTAATATAATAATAAGTATAAGTTTATAATTAATAATTATATTTAATTTTACTATTTAAATAACATTAATAATTATTTTTTATTATTTTTCTTTCTGATTTATAAACATTAATATAAATAATAAGAATAAATTTAATATTAACAACATTAATGAATGTCTCTATTGGTATTTTAAATTTATAAATGATAAATATAATATTTAATACAAAAAATATTTTTAGTCGAAAGAATTAAATTATAATATAAAAAAGAAGTGAAAAAATCATATTTGAAAGTCTTTGTAGAAAAATATTAAAAATGGAAAAAATTCTTAATATCTTCAGTAGAACTTTAATAAAAAATTTTATAAGCTCCCATAAAATTTCGCTTCATTAAACCACATTATTTATATGATATTTTAAAAATTTGAAAATAAGACAAAATTTTTTAAATAAAATATAAACCTAAAAAAAATATACTTGTATATATTATTTTTTTCATTAATAAAAATCTGAAAATGATATTATCAATCAAATCGATATAATTCAAAGAATATTAAATAAAATTGATTATTTTTAAAAAAAAAAATTGTTTACCTGAAGCAAATATTGGTTAGAACGTTTTGGATGAAATTTACGAATATGTGCAAGAAGACCGTTCGTATCTTTTCCTTTGTTGCTTACTCGTTTGTCACACACAGGACACCACGTAGCCACGTACGACTGTGATAAGGATAGAATATGATATAATATAGGATTCTAACCTGTACAAATTAACGAGCGTTTCCTAGTCATTACTTAACAATTAGATAAGGTATTTTTGCAAAAAGATAGAACAACCTGTGTTTGGCATATCATATCTTCAAGCACGTAATTCTTTGTTTCGTTGTGAATTTGTTGTACATTTTCATAAAAATAAATAAACTTTTTACGGTAGAATTATGATGACAGGATGAAATTATGTGTGTTTTCGTAAGTATGCTGAAATTAGATACTACAATACAAATTAATATATTCAAATAACTTCAATTATCATAGATTATATCGATAATTGCTTGAATGCGAGAATAAAATAATATTTTATTCTCTATGTAGTATATTCTAACATAATTTTAATGTTCTTTATTTTATACTTGTCATAAAACTTTCCTTTTTTTTATTTTGTAAAAAAGTTTTAAATAATTTAATTCAAGTATGTTTATTAACGTTTATTATTAATAAAACTTTTTGACTTTTCGTTAATATATATCTTTTGATTGTCATATGTTTTATTTCCATTAATATCTCTGTACTTTTTATTTTTCTATCAAAAATTAACTATCAATAATTATAATAACATTTTCAATATAGAATTATAGAATTTAGAAAACTTACATATGTTATCAAGATCAGCTTCTTGAGTGATTTTCAAAAGATTTTAGCTCGTTGCTTATTAAAAAATTATCAACAAAAAAATATTTATATATAAGAGAGACGTACCTTTTACTAGATAAATTAGGTTAGATATATATCATCAAAGTCGTAGTAATCATCTAAGTGGTCTTTTTGGTGTCATTCTTTATTTGTTAAAAAGTTATAAAACTATCTAAATATCCTCCAGAAAAATGATTTTGGCAATATATATAATATATAACAAGATTATCGAATGTCTTAAATCTCGTATCTAATTTCATTTTCAATTTTCATTTTACGATAATACATTATTAAATAAATGTTATATATTTCTTTTCATAGCACATATATTATTAAATGACATAAAAATAGAGATAAATTGCTAAATAACTCGTAATTGATTCTCTGTTACTGAAAGTTTGTTAAAAAAATCTTATTATCAATTAATTAATACTCGATAAATTATTGTAAACGAATTCAAAAATAACTGTTTTCTACATCATTAAAAAACATGTTTTTTTCTTCTAATAAAATTATTATTTCTCATAATTCAAATATTGTTTCTTTACAAGATGAAAGAAAAAAAGATTGAAAAAAGAATTGAACGAGATAAAAAATACAGAAGCTTTGTTGCTTAGTAAAAGTTAGTCGTTAAGTCGAGAAAGTGAGTTACGAATGAAATAATCTTAAAGAAAGAGAAGAAAGAGGCAAAGGAAAGGAGCTTTTACTGAACGTAATACGAGAAATTCAAACTAAAGTCGATAGTTTCGAAGAGAACCAAAAGATTGTACAAAAGCTGGTCATGAATGACGAACACGCAATGATTCAATGATCAGTACGCGATCTTTAACTGCAGTGATTTTAGAGTTGGTATTTCGACGATCGATTTCCGAATCTTATTATTGGATTATATCTTCTATTAAATCATAAATTGTGTCATTCTTTATCATAGATATTTTCTAGACAGAAAATTGAAAAAAATTTAAGAAGAGATTCTAAAGATTAAAATAAATACAAAAATTATTAAGGATAGGGCTTGTGAAGCTGTCAGATAATCTGGCTTTTATTTTCAACAGTTCGAGTACTTCCAATAACTTGTCAATAATTTATGAGTAGGCATGGTTTTCCTAATATTTTCCAGATTTTTAATTTAAATAAAAATACCACAGCAACGGCCACTTCAGAAACCACATTTGCATACCATGCGATAGATTATTATAGAAGCGAACGCAAAGATCCCCAAATGCTGCGACGCGATCATGCGAGGGTCCATTTTTCGAAATGCCCTCCAACGCGATCATTGGTCTCTTCAATCTCTCTCAGTTTTTTCCTGAAAAGCAAGAATTGAAGAAAAAACAGTCTCGACAGTCTTACAATTGACTTAGAATAGAAAATAGAAAACTAAACAGATAGAATTCAACGACGATACAGTATACATCAAAATAGTTAGACTCATTACAATTAGCCGCAAAGAGTTAAAGTATCATCATTCGTTCGTTCGTTCAGAGCTCATAATCTAAACGAATATACAATCCTATAGTAATAGGTGGCCCTTTGAGCAGTAACCTTAGTTCAGGCATACCATTTGTGCAATATCGAAAATCACCTTTCGATTTTAACAAAAATTGATATCCAAAAATATTTATATTAATCCTTATTTTTCAAATTATAAAGAATTAATTTTGTATCAGATAAAACAAGATGAAAAGATAGCGAGACATTTTATTTCCGTTACAGTTTATTTCCGCTTCATTCAGCAAAATTAATTTTTTTAATGATGCACATTCTTCTGAACTATCTTACAAGTTAGAGTATCTTTTGTATATTTACTATGACAAAAAATTCTGATAAAATTTAGCTTATATAATTCGATGTGAAGAAAGAAATTATAATTTAATAATATATAATAATTTAAGTTTTAATAATAATTTAAGTTTTATATTTGAGAATTAATTTTGTGATACTATAATGAATATAAGTATCTTATTTTTTTTTATTTTACTGGTGATTTAGAATGTCTTTCATATTTATATATCACATTATAGCAAAAATTTCTAAAAAAATTTATTGATACACTCCAAATATTTAATTACTTAATACACTTTGATTACATAATTCTAATTCTCTCATATGAAAGAAAATGATATAAGTTTTACGTTTGCAATAATTTTGTGATAGAACAGAATTATAATACAGAAAATAAACATTCTATTTGAAGAGTAATTCATTAAAAATAAATTTTTCGAACTGATATCTGTTTGCTATGTTTATGAGAAAACAGATTTATTCGTTGATTAGTATACTAAAGCGAAAGTTTGGCTGGTCAGGTTCGTTGAGAGATAGCATGCCACTTGACTATCTCAGTTTTCTTCTTTTCAATTTCGAGTTTAAGAGTGTTCTTTTTACTTCTTAGAAGTCAAGTCATCCTACACAGAAAGTATTGGATTTCAGCTTAATCGTTGTTTGAAAAACAGTCTTGACCGGTTAAAACTCGTAAACTCTGAAAGTATGCTTTTCAGGAATTTTTCACGAACTCTAAAAAACTGCTACTATGGAATAAATAAAAAAGCATTTGTTTAAAAAAATAAAAAAACATCATTCCGCAGGAAACAAGACGATCATGTTACGGATATCTATATCTAAATACGAAAAGTGCATTAAACATATTTATTTTTATTGTATTCATAAGTATGTTAATAAAAAAGATTATAAAGAAATTTGACCTTGAAAAAAAAATTTAGAAAATATCAAATATTATGTCCTTCAATGTTACTCAAATTAATATCATATATGATAATAAAATTTTGATCATTTATATTGAAAATAAAAATAAAATGTTAATTATCTGAATTATGCAATTAGAACAAATTTATTTGAATAACGAGTTTTTTTTGAATTTAGGAAAAACCAAATTTATCAATATATTATGAAAAAACTAAAATTTTTAAATATAGATATGTACGAGAAAAATATGTACATAATAATATAGTGAATTATATAAAGAAATGCATTACATTTAGACATTATCCGAGAATATATGTATATTCCATACACATATTCTATTGTTAGATATGCTATTTTAAATATGTTTTTGATATAAAGTGAGATAAATCGATAAATTTGAATAATTAAATTTTAAATAATCGATATTTTACAATAATTAATATAATAATGTTTAGATGCACTTGCTCTGTTGTTAATTCTATAATGACTTCTATAATGATTATATTGAAGTTATTTATGAGGTATATAACGCAAAATAATTATAAATGTAAAACTTGTTTAATGTGTTATTTGATAATCTGAGAAAAAAAGATACATATGATCTAATTACAGTATATATAATTCAACCATAATATTGAACTATAATTTGAAATTGTGAAGGAATAGAGAAAAAAAATCTAAAATTTCAGCTGCGGATATTTATTAATTTTAGAGATATAAAAATCTTTTAATACTGCAAATTAAATTATATATTGTTTATTATATGCATCTCTAACAGTCTATGTGTTTCTTTATTATTTTGCAGTAATCAAAATTTATAATGAGTAAACTAATATAACCATACTTAATATTCATTTCAAGGATTCTTCGAATCTACAGAATACGAAAAAGTATAAAATATAAAACAATTGAAATTTAATTAATAATCAAAATTCCAATGATCAAAGTATAATAGCAACATCTTATATTTACTATCTCGTTTTTTTTAATTTACTCATTCTGATAACTAAAGTCGCATCGATAAGTAAGAAATAAGAAACAAAAATAAACAAACAATTTCATCAATTTTATCACGATTATCGTTGATATATCGTATGCTATAAGCAAGAAAAAAGGAAGAAATTACCGAAGAAACAAACCGGATTTAAAAAAACGGCAATTCATTGATAAGAAAACATAATTTAATTAGCAGAGGGAATATACAATCTGTATATGTTTGCAAGTGAGAGCACGAATGGCGCCATTGGCAGTGGGTCAGAAAATCAGGTCAGGTAGAAGTAGTGGCAAAGAAAGGCGGATAGTAGGGGTCAGATACCGTTATCTTCGTCTGGCGTCGTCCGTGCTCCATACCTGGAAGTTATTTTATACGGAAGAACCGTGGGCGAGTAAAAAGATAAACCGCTGGTGCTGTAGGCGAGATGCATCGGAAATCTGTGCACCGTCGCCCCGGATTTTCTTCTTACGTTCTTTATACAAAATTCAACAAGGCGGAGAGTTTCTCATGAATTTCGATTCGATGAAAAAACGGGCAGGACAGTGTTCATGGTTTCCTTTTCTGTAATACAGATCGATAGTGAAATATTTGGTTTAAGGAAGATCAATCACAATCTTTGATTTCTGAATAAAATGTTAAATCTTACTGAATATTTATTTTGACGAGCATCAATGTATGCTCAGAACGAAATAATTTTTTCAAAATGATAATTATTCAAATATTGGAAAAAAATGGTGAGAATATAAGA